TGTTGTGAAAGGAAATGGATAACTGGGAAAGCAAGAACAGCTACTCCAGGGGCTTTCTGCTGCTCATGTGTGTGCAGCTGGGGCCCACCAGGAGAGGGGCTGTTTGGAAGAGATGAAAGGTCATGTCAAATTGATTTAGTACCTACAAGTGCCATTGGTGTGCTGCTTAGTCCCTAATCGGTGAAGGTAGAGAATGAGAAGCTTGTGCTATTTGCTCAACTAAAAAATGTGTTTCATCTTCGCTACCCCCCCAATTAAGAACATCTTTAAAAATGGAAATTTAGCCTGATGTATACATTTAAAAGAAACATACCTTCACATACAGAGGTATGCTTCTCTTTTGTTATATATATATATATATTTTTTTTTTTATTATTATTTTTTTATTTTTTTTTTCCTCTGTGTATACTCACAATACCCTGAAATCTAGATTTATTGTTAACCACTGTATTAATGCACTTTTTTGGTGAATTTAATTTCCAGAATGTGGCACAAAGCAGAGTACTTGAATGAGCAGTACACTATGGGGACAAGAAATGCTGCAGAATGAACACCAGATACTGTGGTTTCCTGCAATCCCATGAAGTATTGTACCAAAAGGAAGAAATACTGGAGAATAAATTTGGAAAATTAAATGCAAAGTTCATTGTTCTGAAGTTTGCACTGTGAAGGAGATTGTGCTGCATTATGTGAAGAAAACATTGCTTTATAAGTGAGTACCATAGTCTGCAGAGAGAAAGAATTTGCAACTGATGAAAGTATGTGAATCATAAACCAGGCAATAATACAAACTCTGAATGTATATAAAAGCTTAATCACAACCTATATATAGATTTTACATCTCAAGAAAATAATGTAGCATCTCTTCTCAAAGACGTTTCTGAATCTCCATGGTAGCCTAGATTTGTACTAGAAATCAAGATTCTATACTTGCTCATTCCTAAAGTAAGTTTCACTGAATCACAGAATCATAGAATGGCCAGGGTTGGAAGGGACCTCAAGGATCATGAATCTCCAACCCCCCTGCCACAGGCAGGGCCACCAACCTCCCCATTTAATACTAGACCAGGCTGCCCAGGGCCCCATCCAACCTGGCCTTGAACACCTCCAGGCATGGGGCATCCACAACCTCTCTGGGCAGCCTGTTCCAGCACCTCACCACTCTCTCTGTAAAGAATTTCTCCCTGACATCCAACCTAAATCTTCTCTCCCTCAACTTAAAACCATTTCTCCTTGTCCTGCAGTTATCTACCCTTTCAAAGAGTTGATAATTTCCTAATTTGAAATATTACCATTATCCTCTTCATAAGCCACTTCAGAGCTTTCAGCCTGAAGAGAGAAGTTGCAGCATCTTCACTGATTACAAAAAAGTGACCATCAAAAGGCAGAATAACACATGCAATGTTTTTCAGTGTCCGTAGAAAGCAGATCACTGACCACAATAATTTTCATGTTTCAAATACTGGAGAAAGTGGCCAATTAGTTCTCTAACTGAATTCTGACCTTTAGATGTATAGAAGTGAAGATGAGCAGTGATTTTGTAAGTCTGGAGCAGGTATTGATTACTCAAAATGTAACCTCTTACAGTTGCAAAGTCTTCTGAGATACTGAAATTTTCCTTCAAACTATAAACATTTTTCTGTTTAACAAGAGATGAGAATTCTTGGCACTTTGAGGAATATGGTCAGTGCGCATGGCAGTGATGGGCAGGTGGTTGGACGAGTGACCTTAGTGGTCTTTCCAGCTTCAGTAGTTCTATGAGCCTATGATTATGGGGCTGAGCCCTGGCATAGAGGTTGGTTACTCCATCAAAGGGCAGGAAGGATGCACCTCATTCTTCCTTACATGGGTATATTTGGTGAGTTAAGACAACATTACTTGGAATAATTACCATCTGCCTCAGTGAAAAATTCCAATAGCCTAAGCAAATATTAATGCTGCTGGACAAAGCAATCTCTTTCAGGATACAGTGGTGTGCAGTGCCAGCTCAAACAGATTAAATCTAAGCAGAAATAAAGCAGAAAATAAGGCTAGATCTCCTAGGATGATCAGAGCAAAAAGGAAAACTAAAACAGTCCTGGCGGGTATCATCCCCTGAAAATAAGCCTGAAATGGCATTTGATTGCTGTCTGTGTATACACTGCGCGTGTGTAAGGAAAAGGAATTATTTAAACTAAGGAGGAGTCCTGGCATCAGAAAAACCTCATATAAAGCAGCTGTTAGTAAAATTACGCTAAAAGTTAAACAAGTCTTGGAGAGCAGCGCGGTTCTGGAATGCAATTCCAGGGGAGTGGGAGCAAAGGCTGGCTACTTTTGACATGGAGCTAGTTAAGTTTATGAAGGGAATTCCTGTGTACTGCACAGAGTCATTGTCATGATAATAAGAACATATTAAATTTCAGTACTTTATTTATTTAGTGTCTTTGATCCAAAGCACTTATATAAAAAAGCAATAACGAAAATTCCTTTCAACCGGTACAATAAAAGTCATAATTCCTTGGGGTATTTCATTTTCTTCAGTAAAACGCAATTTGGACACATTCCATTCAATACTTGCAGAAATGACAGAGCATCAGCTCGATGAATAATAAATCTGGAACATAAGATAAGCTATAGGTTATTGAAATGATGTGTTGTAAAGTTTGGATCCAACCTTTGCAACGCTAAACTAATAACAGCTGAGGGAATTTGTGACTCTTTGGCAAGTTTACAGGTCCCTTCCAATAACTGCCCTGGAAGTCACTGGTTTTAAGCTCTGTGAATCTGCTGATTGTGGAACTGAGATAAAACCACGACTTGGGAGATTCTCTGCAGGCCCCAAACTAATGGGAGCTGGACTGGCCTTGGCACCAGTGGGAGATTCTGCCTCACCTGCAGTGTTTAGCTCAACTGGAGCTTGTGAATGTGCTACACAAGCCCACTTCTTCTTTCACTTACGGTATTTCAATCTCCTGGGTAACTCAGGAGTGAAAAGTGTTTCGAGTTCAGATACCTCATTCAGCGCCTAAGTCAGTCTTCAGGGCCATGTATATGGCTGTTTGGTGCTTGGAGATAGAGAGCATCATCTGACATCTGTGAATGCTGTGCTGAAATCTCTCAGAGTTTTGCTCTGATGAGGCTGGGAAGGACCTGTTTTCCTCAGGTTGTGGCCTAAATCAACTCTGAGGAAACAGCATTCAAAGGACATTTTGTGTGCGGGAAAGGTATTTCCTATTGAATGCTCTTTGGTAGATCACTGGAGTCTGATCCTGAGTGCTCAGCCTTCTGGTTCTGGGTTGAGCTGATACAGCATCACCATTAAAAGATTCAGATGGCAACCCTTGATAGTCTGAAAGAGGACATATCCTTACCATATTTGCTTCATTCTGCTACTGTGGCTGCTTTAGTTTAGGTACCACCCCTTGTTGCAGTACACAAACATGGGCTTCCAAACAAGCCAATTTTAGCTGCAGTATTTCAGTTTCAGTTGCAGTGTGTTTGAATGTATTTTCTGGACCTCTCTAGCCTTCTCAAGTTAAAACGAAAAACAATCAGTTGCTACGCATATGTATATTTACTACATATGTAGTAAATGGGGTGGAAAAGGCGATGGATTTGAGAAGAAATGCCGCTGTGCCCTCTGAGTGCCAGCAGGATATTACAGCACAGAGCAACAGAGGTGCTGGGAGAGGAAGGGGTTGGCTACAAGTGTTTGATCTCGGAACAGTTACATAAGGGAAAAGGCCGATCGCTCAATAAGTTTATGCAGATTCATGATTACTGTTGAGAACCCAGATGATTTGCTCTCTCTCTCTCTTTTTAAATAAAAGTACAGGCCAGCCCTTGAGAGGGTTTGCATCGGCTGCGTCACGGAACTGGTGGGAGGATCTGCCCACAGCGCATGCAGCACTAAGCTCTTTTTCTGTATGTGTTCTTTTCTTAGGCCCTTGCACTCTTTCTCAGCTGTAACTTGTGAGTTCCTTTCTGAGGGAAAATGTGACTTGCAAGGCTTTTTTTTTTTCATTAGAGTTTCCTTGGCAAAAAGTGTAATGGAATTGGCTGCCATCAACACCTGCTTTCAAGCTTTCCTGATAAAATTAGACTCTGTATCTCAGCGTCACATATGGCATCTTTATAATTAGTCTTTTTGCAGTATATGAATGTCAGTTCCTAAAATGCTGCCTGCACTTTTCATGTGGGAATATTTCTCTTCATTAAACAAATCCAGATTTTCCACTGGAGCTTCTAATCGCTGAAAACCCACATCTTTGTGTGCCTAATCTCAGAACCATTTAGATGGACTGAAATACAGAATATCTTCACTGGAACCACTCTGTGTGCACGTGCCCTCCGAAAGCAGGAACCTGAGACTCCTCCATGGCCTCCATACCTCAAGTTGCTTGTGGCAGTGCAGCCTTGGAACACACAGCCACCAGAAATGAGGCTGGGCTTCTCTGGAGGGCTAGAAACTGACCTCGTCATGGAAATAGAGGTAGACCTATGCTGAGGAACTTCTAAAAAAATATTACTGGACATAACATTTCCAAACAAGAACACCCAGTTTTTAACACGTGCTTAAGAATAACCCAGCTTCCATTGAAATATGAAGCTTGGAGGTGCTTTCAGACATGTGACGATTGAAATTGCCAGTCAGAAAGATGGAGAAGAGTTGTCCCTTGTCAATGATTCCCAGGTGATTTTTTTGAAAACAGTTGTGAAATGCACTGGAAGTCCTATGTCTGTCTTGAGATGGTCCTGAACTGCTACAAATACCGCTTTAGGTGGTGGGTGCTTTGTTCATCATTAGTTTCACAGCTGAGAATTTTTATTCCACTTGGGTATGTTCATTTCTTTGCTCAAATGAGGAAATGCACGAAGTAACAAATCATCACTATACTGCTAGCACTAATGTCAGGGGAATGGAAATATTCAGATGGAAAAGTCAGCATTCAGTGCCTATGCAACAGGATGAGAATGTGCAAACTGTCAACTCAGAATATAAATTTCTTTTGTTTCTCAAGTGCAAAGTTAGTGCAGTGTCAGCAACATTACCCTCTAAAGAAAAAAAAAAAAAAAAAAAAAAAAAAAGGATGACAAATAGGAAAACATTTATAAACACAGCTCTTGATAGCTCTCATGCAAACTGCTGTCAGACTTGTACACTAATGCAGTGAATCATTCAGGCTCAGCTCACTGGGAGTACTCCTGCTCATATTTGTAAGGCTAGCCATAAGGGATTTCACTTTATAGGCATAGTAGTCCCTTAAGTTGACCGATGGAACTTCTTTCATGCCATCACCAAAATCACAGCTCCTCATGGCACTCTCTAACTGCTTCTGACGCCTATAAAAGTGGGAGAATTTATTGAAGATCAGTGTAATGGGAAGCACTACCACCAGGATGCCGGCTAGGATGCATGCAGATGCCGTCAGCTTGCCAGCAGTGCTCCCCGGCACAACGTCCCCGTAGCCCACTGTGGTCATGCTAACAGTGGCCCACCACCAGCAAGCAGGGATGGTGGCTAACCCCTCGTTCTCTTCTTTTTCAATGGTGTAGGCCACTACTGAGAAAATGGAGATGCCAACAGAGAGGTAGAGTAAAAGGAGCCCTACCTCTCTGTAGCTGTACTTCAGGGTGGCTCCAAGGGACCTAAGACCCGTTGAGTGCCTGGCAAGCTTTAAGATGCGAAAGATCCTCATGAGCCTCAGGACTTGTGCAACCCTGCCTAAATTTGCCAAGGTCGGACTACTTTCCACCACCAAGTTGACAATTAAGGTAATATAAAATGGTAGGATAGACATTAGGTCAATCAAATTCAGGGCATGCTGGAAAAACTTTAAAAAGTCAGGAGCTACTGCAAATCTCGCCACCAGTTCAAAAGTGAACCATGCAATACCAAAGTGCTCCACGATTTCAAAGCGAGGGTCTTCCTCGGGGGTCCCGCTGCTGTCAATGATCTGGAAATCTGAGAGGCTGTTCAGGCACATGGTCACAATGGAGCCCAGCACCACCATGATGGAGAGCACACTGAAGATTCGGCTCAAGACTGAGTAGCCAGGGTTATCCAAAGCAAGCCAGAGCTGCCTTCTGATGTTTCCAAAGGGCTGTTTGTCAAATTTAGAGGCATCGTTATAGAATGCCAAGATCTCATCAAAGGAAGATGTGGTACTTTCCTGGTCACTTTGTTCCTCCCATTTCTCTTGGTCTGGCTCCATTTTCCTCCCGTGGTAGCTGTAGCTGCAGCATGAGTCTATAAAGAACTCATTGATTCCCCAGTACTCAATCTCCTGGCTGAAAGAAAAAACGCAGAGCTCGCCCATCACATGGAGCTTGCCAGTGTTGTAAAAGTGGAGCACGTAGGGGAAGAGCTCAGGGTTCCTGTCAAAATAAAACTCATTCTTGGTGTCATCATAGTCATCGCAGAGCTCCAGGATCGATTCCTTCGAGTGACAGCTCAGCAGTTTGCCCAGTCTGGTCTCTGGGAACCTCAATAATGTGTTGGACCTCATCTTTTTCTTAAAACCTCCAACGTTGATGCTGATCTCATTGTCTTCAAAATTCGCCTCAGATAAAGCCTTCAGGCTCTGCCCTGTCATAGTGACCTCCTTCCAAAGGTGTGTAGGAAATAAAAGCCTAGAATGCAATTGCACAAAGCATCAGCACATCAGCAGAGTGGGCAAATCCGAAGACTGTTCACCTACTGACATTCTCATTTTCTTTTTCTTTCTTTTCTTCCTTCTTTCTTTCTTCCTCCTTCCCTTCCTTCGTTGCTTCTCTTTGTCTCTCTCTTTCTCTTTTCCTTTCTCTCCTTTTCTATCATTCTTCCTTTCTCTATTCCTTTCTCTTTCTTTCTTTTTTCTCTCTGCTCTTTCACTCTCATTTCTCTCTCCATCTCTCTTCTTCCTTTTATTTTCTCCCCTTATCTCTCCCTCTGCCCTTTCCCTCCCTTTCTCCCTTTCCCCTCTTCTCTCTCCCCCTCCCTACCGCACACACCGCTGCTGCTCCTTTGTTCCAGCCGTACCTCTTCTCCCACCTCTCCCCGCCGGCTCCCCGCTTCCCTTCCCTCCATCCCACCCCCAGCCCTCCATCCTCCCGGTCCTCTCCCCCCTCCCCAGGACCCTTCCTCGGGCGGCTCTCCCCTACCTGCTCTCAACGCCCGGCCGGCCGCCGGCTCCGCGCCGCCATCCCCGCTGCCTGTGGCCGTGCCGCCGCCTCGCTCCGCTGCCTGCGGGCCGCGGTGCTGAAGGGACAGCGGCGGCTCAGCGGCGGCTCAGCGGCGGCGGCGGCCGGCGGCACACGCGCTCGTCATGGCGACGACCCCCGCGGGGCCGCGCTCCCCTCCGAGCTCCGCCGCCTGCGGGGGGCGGCGCGGGGCAGCGGCGGGGGGGTCTGGTGGAGCTGCTGCCCCCGCGCACCGGGAGGCGGTGGCTCCCCGCCCGCCTCGGGACGCCTCTCCCGCCGGGAGGGGAGATCCGCAGAGCCGGTCCGTCCGGAGACCCCACCCGCTGCCGACGGGCAGCGGGCTCCGGGCTCCCCTACGCCGTCCTGGTGGCAGCGCACCTGTCCGGCCGCCCGGAGGGTCGCAGGGTCCGACCTCGGGTGCGGGATGAGGGCTAACTGCGGGGCTGCCGACGGCAGCTCCTTCGCCCGCGCTGCGAGGCGATCTCCCTCCTCCCTCCGAGCCCGACACGAGGCCGAGGTTCCCGCGGGAGGTGCCGCGCCGGCGGCGCTCGGGGGCGGCGGCAGCGCACGGCACGGCACACCCAGGCCGGGAGCTCACCGCCCGCCTGCCAGCCCCGTCACTGCCCGCCCGACCCGCTCCCGGCCGCGGGAGGCTCCGCACCTTTCAGGGCTGCAGGGGTGATGCGGGGCGGTGGTGCTCCTCTCCTGCTTCCGCCAGCCCCCAGCCTCCGCAGCCCTGCGCATCACCCGCAGTTTGCTCCTCGGACCCTCGGGCTACCCTGCTCACGGCAGTGGGCTGGAATTAGAAGACCTTTCATATCCCTTCCACCCTGAGTCATTCCTTAATACAGCCCTGCAATAAATAAGCCCTGGTGCCTGCCAGCGGCCGGGTCTTCAGGTGCTGCTCAGACATCCCAGCAAGGTGCTGTGAGCACCCCATCAGAATCACAGAATCACAGAATTGTGGGGGTTGGAAGGGACCTCCAGAGATCATCGAGTCCAACCCCCCTGCCAAAGCAGGTTCCCTACACCAGGTTGTACAGGTAGGCATCCAGGCAGGTCTTGAACATCTCCAGAGAAGGAGACTCCACCACCTCCCTGGGCAGCCTGTTCCAGTGCTCCGTCACCTCACTGTAAAGAAGTTCTTGCGCACATTTGTGCAGAACTTCCTATGCTGCAGTTTCCAGCCATTTCCCCTTGTCCTGTCTCCACTCACCACTGAAAAGAGTCCGGCCTCGCCATTCTGCCCCCCAACATCTTTCTTAGACATCTATAGACCTGGATCAGGCACCTCTCAGTCTTCTGTTCTCAAGGCTCAGGTCCCACCAGTGCTGTTGTTGTGTGGTTGGAGCCCCTGCACCTCCTGGGACACCTCTAGCGCTGCTCATGGGCCACAGCCCTGCAGCACCTGAGTGTGTTTCTTCCTCCAGGTGCTCTTAGAATCATAGAATCATAGAATCACCAAGGTTGAAAAAGACCTCTAAGATCATCCAGTTCAACTGTTAACCTATCAACAATATTCCCCACTAAGCCATGTCCCTCAGTACAATATCTAAATGTTTCTTGAATACTTCCAGGGACAGCGGCTCCACCACCTCCCTGAGCAGCCCATTCCAGCACCTGATCACTCTCTCGGACAAGTATTTCCTAATATCCAGCCTGAATCTCCCTGGGTGCAACTTGAGGCTGTTCCCTCTAGTCCTATCACTAATTACATGGGAGAAGAGACCGACCCCCACCTTGCCACAACCTCCTGTCAGGCATTTGTAGAGTGCGGTAAGGTCACCACTGAGCCTCCTCTTCTCCAGACTGAATAATCCCCTTGAGGCTTGCTCTTGCTCAGCTTTCCTGCTGCAAGGGCATTGGAGGAAGGCTGTCCTACAGCCTCCCTTTGCCTTATGGACCCCTTGTGTTTCCCAACTCCAGAGCAGCTCCTGTGGCAGCCCGTTGCAGCCTCATTTTCTTGGGGCTGATGGACGTAGTCCTGGAGATGCTCTTCCTGTTGCTTGGGGCAGGGATGGCAGGACAAAGGCTGTGGACACCCCTGCTGGGCTTTCTTCTGGAGATCCCCCCATAATCCTCAGGGCTTGGCTACGTCACCGAACATCTCTGCTTTGATTTCTCACTCAAAATGAGGACAAAACAAAATTAACACGTTTCTCGGTGTCATAGTGAGGAACGGTGAGCTGCAGCTGACAGTGCATCAGGCAATGTGCTTTTACCAGCTCTGCACCATCCTGGATACCCAAGCAGGGGCTTGGAACACTGCAAATTTGTGGAAGATGTATATTTCATTACTTTTCTTTCCTATTCTTAAATTAGATTTTTTTTCCCCCTAATGCTGCTTTGAAAGAAACGAAGTGGAGATACACTTAGAAGATTTTCCTTTCCTGTTAAACTGCTTGTCTAAGAAGAAATCATAGGCAGCCTCATATTCATTTTGGAAATTGGATTTATCCATTTCTGTTATCTTTACCCTGGAAGGGTCACTGGTCACTCTCTAACCTGGGATCTTTATGCATTTTCTCATCAGAGGACACAGTGGAATTTCTGCAGAGATAACTCAAAGTGCAAAACATGTAGCTACGAGAATACAACTCCTCCAAGTCCAATATAACTGCTCCTGTAATTAGGGCTAATTGCTTCAGCCAGAGCATTGTCCTAATAAGGTTAAAATGCCTCTAGTGCCCAAGGTACTAATCCAAAACTCATCTGAATGTTTCTGCAAGGCATCATTCTGCTCCATGGACGCATGATCACAGAAACAGCGCTTTTGCATTTTCTGATGGTGAGCACAGGGCACATTGCTGCAGACACCCCCACAGTGGTGGAATCCAGGGGAAACGAGCCGCTTTGGTCTGCCAGAGGGAATCAGACAGGGCATTTTTCTGCTGTTAGGGAATTGCCTGTTGGAGTGGGAGGTAGATGGGTGACTAATATCACTTTAGGGCAACATTACACGGGGTGTGCTGGCTGTGCTTGTGACTCCGAGACCGTGTGAAAGATACAGAGTTAGTTCTGTTGGTTCACATGGCACCATGTTAATTAAGGAGCATGAGAAGGTGCCAGTGGTATCTAATGACCCGGACTACATGCAGCTGCCTGGCCTTGAATGCATACCAGCTAGAGTGTGCTTCCCATGGCCAGAGCCCTATGACCCGAACTGCAAGAGGATGGGAGTTTGTTGCCAGGTGTCAGAAGCGGCCACCTGGGTGCACTGGCCCACACAACACCCACCCACACTGATGAGGATGCGGCACCGGTGTCTGCAGAGCCTCGCCAGCTTTGGGAGAAGTGAATTTGCTTCTGCTAGTGCTGCATCTGCAGCATTAATGAAATATTGAATAGGATCTAAATGAGGAGATTGGACCCAGCTCAGTGGTTTAATCAGCACTTCCACTGGTGGGTAGGCTCGCTTTGGAGTTGAGGCCACAAACCTCATTAGGCTGGAGGTGGAAAGTCTGCACGTAACGCTTACTGGAAGGTCCCCCTTTGGCTGGAGCCAGACTCAAACTCACATTCGTGCTGACCGCTTCCTTTTGCACCAGATGGGTTGGAAAATCCCAGAGTCTTAATGTGTTAGTTTAAGATCGATAGATACGATCTGTTTTTCTTTGCAAAGTCTCACAGGCAGCTGGGAGCAAAGCTTTCCTGACAACATTCTTACTACCACGACCGCTGACTGTGGCCAGCTGGTGCATGTGTTCAAAAGAACAAAAATATTTTTGCAGATAATGCTCATTTAAATACTGGAAAAGGTCTACTGCAGAATATTGCCAAGTCAAAAAGGAATGAATAAGTTGACAATGAATTTAAACAAATTCAGAAAGCCTACTTCCCTCTCTGGATGTTTATAGAAGGGATCTTAGCACTGCCAGAATTGGACAGAACCTGACTAATGGGAGGTGCTACAGAGGGCTGGTGCCAAAGCACCTCACCTTTACCTTCCCACCAACAAGCTCCCACGGTTCACAGCCGCCCATGGCCAGCTTTTGCCAACTGAGAAAGCCGAGGGGAATGGTTTTTAGTTGAGGGAGGGAAGATTTAGGTTGGATGGCAGGGGGAAATTCTTCACTATGAGAGTGGTAAGGTGCTGGAACAGGCTGCCCTATCCGTGGAGGTGTTCAAGGTCAGGTTGGATGGGACCCTGGGCAACCTGGTCTAGCATTAAATGGGGAGGTTGGTGGCCCTGCATGTGGCAGAGCGGTTGGAGATTCATGATCCTTGAGGTCCCTTCCAACCTGGGCCATTCTGTGATTCTGTGATTCTGAGGCCAGCCCAGATGTGGGACCTTCAAGCTCCGCTGGAAAGAAGGATGTCGTGCCTCCTTCAGCCCCAGGCAAACAGCAGTGCCATTTGCTTGTGAACCTGCTCTGTATATAAGTATTCTGCCTCACATGCCTGATTTCATGGGAGGCAAAGGCTCTCTGTCAGTTGTGGCATTTGCAGCT